CCCCCCTCTGTAATGTTCCAATACACCCAGCAGCGGCAGAAATGCGTTAGGTGAAGCTTCATTCCAGGCTTGGAACTGCAGAGCTAGAAGGGACCCTAGGGATCATCGAGTCCAGCCCCTGTCGAGGTGGCACCGTGGGGGGAATTGAACTCCCAACCTCGATCCAGCAGTTCTTTCAAGACACCAGGGTGCTTCTCCTAGAGAAGGCCTGCTCTGTGTGACAGGTGCCAAAGCCATCTTTGTTAGTCTCCGTAAAAAGAAAGGAAGGGGGAGGCGGGGTCACCCTACTGTCCTACCCGTAGCTTGTAGGGTGGTTGTAAAGTGTTCTGTGTTGTCTCGTTGCATTCCAGACGTTTGTTTAATGAGCCTAAGGAATTTTTTCCACACCTGTCCTTATAGCTCCCTTACAGCGATCAGATGTCATAAGGCTTCTAAGAAAGCCATATTTGCTGACGATTGACTATCAAAGGAGTACAGCCCTGTTAACCTTTGAGTCTGGTCATCTGAATCCCTTTCAGTTCACAAGTGGATAAAATATGTGAAAGGAATTTTCCTTGAGCCAAAACAAGTGTTTGACACTGACTCCTTTCCTTCGTGTGTTTAATGATTGCATAGAGGGAAGCAGGATGACACCTGGTGGCACCATCCCTTTAGTTGCATGTGGTTGCTGGGAACCTGGTCATTTCAGACTTCAGTGCTTTGAACAGAATGTAGGAATAGGTTCAAAGCCCATATAGTTACAGATAGAGGGTTATACTTGTGATTGAGGGCCCTGATACAGCTAAAGGCAGAGAATATAATTGAAATAAGTTCCTCGTGCCCTAAATATATTGGGAATCCTTTTAGCATGTTTGATCTGTGTAGTAAATAGAACTAAAGTACTACTATTGCATGTTCTACACATATCCTGAAAGCTTGCCATGTTGCCAAAGATATTTGAACTTAAATGCTAGTCAGAAACAGTAGACAAAATGCACTGGGGATTATTTAAATGTTATGTTTACATGTAAAGTTTTACTTGGAAATGGTTTTAACTGAAATATTTGTAAAAACTCTGAGACATAGCATAGTAGGAACATGAATTGTGTAACATGAATTTTGAGAAATAATGCACATTCACACTGAATTTTTTAAACATAAATACTAATATGCCCCAAAACTTGTACAGTAGGAGTTATCTAAATAAAACCCTAGTCCTACTTCTGTCTCTGTGTTAAATCAGTGTGTGGATGACAAGTGGGGATGGTACATGCTGGCCCCCTCCCCAAACTCTCTGCAGCTTAGTGAAGATTAGAACAGTTCCTACACTGATACAGGTGTATGTTCAATTGGAAATTCTGGCTGTGACAATATTCTAATTGAGCATACACATCCTATGCATGTACATACTGTATTTGAGTGTAGGTTTGGAGGGAACAAAACCTACACAGGTTGCACATGTACACTGGAAGAATTACAAACTGTGGCATCTCCACGGCAGGTTAAACGAGAACCAGAAGAGGGGCTACAGGAACGTTGGGAAGCCCAATGGCAGGAGTTCCTGAGGACACTTCAGGCCCCTCACTCAGAATGGGAGAGCATACCTGTGTCTGAGGAGCTGAAGCCATGGGATGACGTTAAGGCTTTTCTGGCCTCCTTCGAGCAAGTTGCAACAGCATGCCGGTGGCCTAAGGACAAGTGGGTTCCCCTCCTCCTGCCAGCCCTGAGTGGAGAGGCTGAACAGGCCTTCAGCAGCCTCAGTACCCAAGACAGGGCAGACTACGAAAGAGTGAAGGCAGCCATCTTTCAAGGAGAGGCCAACGCTAGGGAGAGGCAGCGCCAGCACTTCAGAGAGTTCTGCTATCAGGAAACAGAAGGGCCAAGAGGTGTCTATAGTCGACTCCGAGAGCTTTGCCATCAGTGGCTGAAAGTGGAGAGACACACTAAGGAGCAGATCCTGGAAGTTCTGATCCTGGAGCAGTTCCTGACTGTCTTGCCCTGGGAAATGCAGGCATGGGTCAGGGAGCATGGCCCAGAGACTTGTGCCCAGGCTGTGCTCTTGGCAGAAAGTTTCCTGGTTAACCAGAAGGAGGCCACAAGGCCAGAAGAGCAATTCCCAGTGTCAGAGACTTTGGGGGTGGTAAAAGATGTGAACGCCTCTGAGACAGGTCAGGGTCAACCCCCAGATACCTGGAAGAGGTTTCTATGCAAGGAGGAGCAAAATGAAGAGGGAAGCTCATTGGGAAAGAAACTGAACCTTCACCATAAGGAAAACAGTTTTCCGCAGGAGAAGCCAGAGCATGTTGAATCAAGAGATGCATTGCTGAGAACCAGTGCACTGCAAAATTATGAAGCAGAAATAAAGTGTGGAAATCAGCAGAGACCAGAGAGTCAGCAGGTAGTTGACCTAGAGATGAGTAATGCTTTTCCCAGCATGAAAGGTAAATTTGACCAGAAGGGAGCCAGAGCACACCATAACATCCACTTCTCTGGAAGACACTTCCCTTGGAGTTCGGGCCTAGGAGTACATGAGAGATTCAAACAAACAAGGAAAGCATATGAGTGCTTAGAGTGTGGGAAAGTTTTTGATCATAAAGGAAATTTTAAGAATCACGGGAGAGTTCACACTGGAGAGAAGCCATACAAGTGCTCTGAGTGTGGGAAAAGCTACATTCAGAAAGGGAATCTTATGATCCATGAGAGAACTCACACTGGAGAGAGACCATTTATGTGCATGGAATGTGGGAAGACTTTTAGTCAAAAGGGAAACCTTGCCAAACATGAAAAAATGCATACTAGAGAGCCTGTATAAGTGTGTATAACCACCAATTTCCTCTGTTGACTGTCAATGATGTATAACATATTGTTGAGTTACGGCTCTGAAAAGGGGCAAGACTGGTCAAAAGATCTTGTTCATTCTATGCATTTTGGTATCTGGAAATATATAAGAGAATATAGGAAAGCTGTGTATTGTGTTACATTGTTGAAATTGTATTTTATTGTGTTGTGCTTTTATGTAAGCCCCACTGAGAGGGCTTGTTAACCTGAAGGGTGGCCTGAAAATATTTCAAACAAAATAAATAAGCATTAATTCAGCTTATTTGTACTCCTAAAAGCATAGGTTGGAGAGCAGGGCCAGCAGAAGCATATCCCACAATGCAGGCATTGATGGAACACATTGACAGAATGTAAGACATTTTCAGGTAGTCATCTGAAAAAAAAAAGTTAATTGTGACTTTCAGGTGTCCAGTTTGATTGGTGTCATATGTATTATGTTACCAATTCATTTGACATAGCAGTGCACTTTTCAGGGTTTCTCCCAACAAACAGAACAGAAGAAACCTGGCAGTCTCACACTAAAGCCAGTTTTCATATTCTGCCTAACACAAAGGGTGAAAGCATCAGGCCAATGGGTATATGGTTGTTGTAGGTTTTCAGGCTGCCTGGCCGTGTTCTTGAGGTTTTTCTTCCTGACGTTTCACCAGTCTCTGTTGCCAGCATCTTCAGAGAACAGGAGTCAGAACACAGACAGAGTTCTGACTTCTGTCCTCTGAAGACACCGGCCACAGAGACTGGCAAAAAATTAGGAAGAAAAACCTCAAGAACACAGCCAGACAGCCCGAAAAACCTACAACCATGATCAGATCCCGGCCATGAAAGCCTTCTAGAATACCAGTGGGTATAGTTGTTAGTTTGTTAAAGCCACTTGTCCATCTACTTTCTGCAAGATCCGTGCAATGTGTGTGCACAAGATAAAGAGCCCTTCTTTGCTGTCAATGGTTGAATGCAAAGGCTACATACAGTACAAATAGCAGGTCTTAATCCTGTAATCATCTTTTTATCAAATTTAATATTACTTAGTTGGAAAAGCATCAGTGCCACATCCAGGAGAAGTGGATAATAAAGATAATTTCAAAAACTGCAGAAACATAAGCCTTTATATTAAATGGATTGCTGGACTGTGGGAGTGGGTATTATTTGCTGTAAAAATGGTACAAAAGTAGAACAAATTGCAATGGGATATTTTAGTGTTATGGCATCACAGAAGCTCAAACAGCAGTACTTGAATAATTGTTGGTGTTTTTTAACATTATAATCGTTTAGGCCTGTGAACACCTGATTGTGAGGTCTGTTGAAGACACAATGACAAATTGTACCTTAAATTGGTTAATTTTATTGTGGCTTTGTTCAAATTGAGCAATAAAAACCTGAGACTTTTAACCAGATTTTTAATTGTAAAAATGGTTTTGACAGAGAGTGAACTTGTAACAGAAGGCTGCCATTTTAATCCTAGCCAATTCACTACCTTAGGAGAAGAAGATGTCACTGAGTCATGCAGGATTGTCTAGTCTTATATTCCTTGTACATGCTCCCTGACAGGCCCTCCTGTATTCATTCTGAATACATCAGCACCATCCCATGCTGGACTTTGATCCAATATGAGCCAGCTGAATATGAGAATAGCAGCAATAAGGGGCACCCCAGTGGATGCATCTTTGATTTCTGTACGGAATGGCATATGTAAGGTTTTCCCACTTAATAAGCACTATAACTAGCAGATTTTTTTGAAGAAGTGAAAACCTGGGTTGCTGCACACGTTGATGAATTTAAAGAGGCATTCAGTGAAGGATTAGTGGAGTTGTAGATAATTCTGGCCACTGCACCATAGCAAAGAAGGATGCAAAGGAAAGGGCAAACATGGACTATGATCAAGGAGCTGAAACAGTTCTCCCATGACAAAATTTGAGACTCTTTGGTTTAAGAAAAAACAAGTAACATGGCAGGGACATGATGCATAACATTATGCGTAGTGGGAATGAAGTGAATAGAAGGTTTTTTTTTGTCCATGTTATGATTTAATAACGTTGGGTTATCTCCATTGAGTTGAATGATGGGAGATAAAAGTTTGTTAATCTTGTAATGTGTGGAAAAACATGAATTCACTACTAAGAAATAATGCTTTCACCTTTGACAACTTTAAAAGGAGATGATGCCATTGTAGAGTTTGATTTAAAGACTAGCCAAAATGTACCAGCAAAAACATGTTGGTGGTGGATTCTCTATGGTGTTGTAACGTTAATATATATTAACATATTATGCAGCACGTTTTCTTTTCTACTCTGTTATGAAGTTGTAGTGTGATAGTGTCTGCAACTATTTTTTGTCCTACCTATAGATGTCTGAAAATCACTTTGAAGAATCATGAATTTTGTTGGCATTTCTCACTTAAACAATAATTGAATTAAACATATGTTGCCAAAGTACATGATTGGTTGATTTTTAATACATATTTGTGTAGCTCCAAGTGCTTATCTTCAATAGAAAGCATTGAAATGTTTTCTCAGAAAGATTGAAATTTCTCTTTTGCTGTTATTACCACAGCAGCTAAATGGTTAGATAAGTGGAAAGGCAGTGAGCAGGCCAGGCTAAGCCCTGGCAAAGTGGGGACAGCATTTGAAGCCATTGGCTCTTTTGTAGTTTTGGGAATGATCGGGGGCGGGGACTGAAACACTATTAGTTTTAATTCTTATATTTTAAAATACCTCTGTTTGCTAAGCTGCCTGAACTGAGCCAACAAGAACTGGCCTCTCACTGCTTACAACATAATCCTATTATCTCAAGAAGCTGAAAAGTTGGTTTTGTTCATTTTTATATTGTTGATATTGACTGTGGGGAATGGAAACATGCACTGAAGCTAGCCTCTGAATGCTGGGAATATAAAACCTAAGATATCTGGATGCAAATTATTATTAATCAAATGCAAAACTATTAATAATGAAAATGTATTTCAGACCCCTTCTGCTGTGAATAAGATAAAGCAACTGCTTAAAGACAAGCCTGACCATGTAAGTAAATGTTCAGGGTATTCATGACATTAGGCATAAATTTAACAGGTTACAATATGCAGTTAAGTGTGTAATACTGGCAATTGCCTTTGTAGTATATGTGATATCTGGCAATTTTAAGACTTCATAAAACAGTGTGAACAACCTACAGATTTGAGCTTTGTGATAAACTTAAAGAAATACTAATCTAACAACTGCATATTGTACAGTATAGGAAAACAAAAATGTTGTTGGTGAGACTGGTGTTTTTCTCCTGTATAACTCTAAACCATTTCTTGTAAAGTGTAATGAAATTTGTGGAATATCTTTATATCCTTAAAGATGTCTAGACTAACAAGTGTCTGGTTTATCATTAGCAAATTTAGTGTTACAGTTCAATTCATTATCTTTCATGGCTATTATGAGTAAGTGACAGCATACTTAATGTAGCTATTTGGGACTTGAGTTATGCTAAACTTGTGCAACTGAATTAGATTTACAGTAGCAATCTGTACTTATCTACTCAGAACTAAGTACCATTGAGATCAGTGCAGTAAGTAGGTAAGTGTAAACAGGAGCAGTGCATTTCAGGCATGTTGATTGTTCTCCTTTACAAGTACCATCAAGCCTCTGCCAGCATAGCCAGTGGATAGGGATTGTGGGAGCTACAGTCTAAAACAAGTGGAGACCTAGAAGTTTCTCAGTCATTTGTTAAATTTTTTTATTTTTGTTTGGCTGCCACTTTTTAAATAAGTAGGCTTGCTATAGATGTCAGTAGAGGTATGAAAAGCCCCCACCCAAAAAGAAGGACAACAGTCTTTCTAACTTCTTTCTCCTCCTTCCCCCAATAATTTTTCCTTTTTTTTTCAAGTGGAAAAATAAAAGCTTGGGAAAATGTAGAAGAAACTTTGATAAAATGTTTTTTTCTTCTGGAGTGATTGAAATATTTAGGACAATATTATACTCATTCGGAATATTAGGAACTATGTAGTATGAAGATTTGTATGTAAATATATAAAACTAGAGCACAGTAGCAGGCTGTTAACAATTATGTACCTAAGGAATGCTGTCATTTTCACAAGAGGAGGATATAGAGGCCTTCATTGTTTACAGATAGCAACTTTTGCTGACCTCCATTCAAATTTGGTAGAGTTAAAGTAAAAGCAAGTTCGTTTTTGTCTAAATAATATGCTGAATTATTTAAATAATATATTTCACTTTGTTTACTGCAATATTTATGAATTCAATGTAGTTTTTCTTACTTCATAGATGACCTCCCCCAAAAAGTGCTTAGGTAACATACATTTGTATTTTCTTGCTTAATATAGACTATATATTCATAGTTTTGCTTGTACAAAATAAAAGGGTTTTGTATTTTTAAATTTCTTAAACATTCTAAATAGAACAGGTTACTATGCTAAGTTATGAATACAGCATATTGCTAAAGTAGAAAATAAATTTAGGGTTGATTAATAACTATTGCATATGTTTCAACTTTCCCCAGTATTTCCATTCCCTTCATAGATATGTACAAAAATATTTCTGAAATGTTAAACATTATGTTTCAGATAGGAGTTAAGGTTGGTGTTCGTACAAGAGGCTGTAATGGACTTTCTTACACACTAGAATATACAAAATCAAAAGGAGATTCTGATGAAGAAGTAGTACAGGATGGTAAGTGTGTTTGCAAAAATGATTGCAAATCCATTTTCTACTCTTCTAAATAGAGCTCTATTTGGCGGTGGTTATGGAAGCTTCACATACCTCAGTTAGCATCTCTTAAGTGTAAAATAAATTTAATCTACTGAATTGACAGATTAATTTTTCTCACTCAAATACGCCTAGTGTTCTTGATCTATAGTCAAGTATTAAAGGCCCCAAAATTGAATGTGTTCATATATGAGAATCCAGGAGCACATCCAAGTACTTATATTTAGGTTTATAGTTCTGGACTCAGAAAAAAATCTACAAGACTTTACATCTATGAAAACATCTTAGCTGTTGAAAAAGCACAACATTAACAGAAGACAGACGGTCCATGACATGACTACTAGTCAGTCTATTTTCTGAACTGCAAATGAAAAAGAATGTTGAGTAAAAAATGTTTTTGGACTATGCTTCCCATCATCCTTCTTCATTGGCTGAGTTCACTAGACAAACATATTTGTTTTTTGTAGTCCAACAAAATGTGGAAAGCTACCACCTTTGCTTCAACAACGGCAGACTTGAGTTGTTTGTCCATTATTTCTGAGTGAAATATCCAAAATGTCTTGATGTATCTTGCTTGCAAGGCTTAGCCCTTAAGTAACCAGAGTGTTTTACATAAAGCAAATAAGTGTAGAGTATGCAACATCTTTCAAATTTCATTCTTCTTTTTCTCAAGGTGTTAGAGTGTTTATTGAGAAAAAAGCACAGCTGACACTTCTAGGAACTGAAATGGATTATATAGAAGACAAACTGTCCAGCGAATTTGTTTTCAATAACCCAAACATCAAAGGAACGTGTGGCTGTGGAGAAAGCTTTAATATATAACATACAAGGACTGATTCCATGACCTTTAACACCACAACCCTGCTTTCTAATCACTTGGCATGTGTTTTTCAGGTCTTTAGGCTTTGTAACATGGCTGTCTTTTCAGGAAAATAAAAGTACTGTCTTTTTAAAAAGTTATCTGTGTGTTAAATTTCAGCTCTTGCATATTTTCAGTTTTAAAAATGGAAGGTTGTGTTTCTGAAAAAGCCAAGAACACAAAGTACAAAAATACAGCTTTATTTTATTTGCAAAAAATCCTTGTTTTTCCTCTTAATGGTTCCATCACATCTTCATAAAATACATAATGAAAAGTATTATGCAAAGTTGTGTTTCTGTGTGTTTGTCTTAGACAGAATTACACTGCTCTGTGTGTTGTAAATCATTAAAAATTATGTTTTAAAGTAAAAGTACACTTCACATTTACTGGAAATTTCAAATATTAGTTATTTAAAATATTTTGTGTCTCTTTAGATGTAAACATTTGAGTTCTCAGAGGCATATGGGCTTACATAGCTTGAGGCAAATCAGTATGCATTTTGGATACCATATACTAGATCCTGCCCCCTTAATTCACCTCCCACGTCCCCCCAAAAAGTGAGTAAATATTTGTTGCTGCTGAGAAAGCCATCAATATTTTAAGCAATATGCTTAATATTAGGCAGAGAGACAGATGGCAGAATCCTGTTTAGATTATTTTTTTTTTAAAAAAACTTGTTTCTGTCAGTTTTTCAAATATCCTGAAATGAATTCTGAAAGCACATTCTCTCTGCAGTTTATAGATGGAAATCATTTAAAGTGTTCTGGTTATGCAGCAAGGAAAGCTTATTTTTTTTCTAAGCAGTTTATTTGTTAGGTAACAGCTTATAGTCTGAATTTACGAGTGTACTTATTAAAGCTTAGCCCAAATGTGAACAGCAAAACTTGATGGTAAAAGATCTGAATTTTGATAACTTCTTATTCTTTAAAGCTCTTTTGTTGTATTTTATTGTAATTACTTACATGGTCATATCGTGAATGAAAACATACTTTTCAGGTTTGAATGGTCTTACAATTGAGACATTATGGTACATCCAGAATCTATATTCTGATTCTTACCTGCTCAGAGCCATTTTTCTGCACAAATAATTTTTTCAAAATTGTTCTACAGCTAATGTTCAGTTATCTTGTTTAGGCAGACTTTTGTACTATCCTTACTGTGAAGGAAAAAGAGGTGTGTCATTGTGAGGATGTTACATTTGTACCAGTAAAAGATTACTGGTTAAAGGAATGATATCAGTTGTACTACTTATGCTCGTTCATGAAAACAGTTCAGTGATCAAGGATACTGCCTGAAACTGGATTTGCTTTGCAGATCTTCAAAGAAAAATGTGGGATGTTCTAGGCTCAATTGCAACTTTTAGAAAAATTGCTTGTCAAGGATGGAGACATTTACAGTCCTGTGTGTAACTACCACAAAGAGTTATTTTTCACTGAGAGTGTGTCTGAGAATATTCGAACTATTGCTAAGCCTAATAGTATAATCTTTTCATCTTGCAACATTTTGAAATCTAAAATTCGAGACTGAGAAGAGCCCTGGTATCTAACTGCTTAAAGGGCAGGAATTAAACAGCACTATATAAGAATGTTGTATAGCTTGTATCAAGAATGTTATTGATGTACTCCAATCTGTTTTGTTTTTAATTGATGGATTGTGTTTTCCTAGAAACAGCTTTGTGAAATGAAAGTGTGCACTTCCATATTATAAAAAGTGTTGTCTAATTTAAGTACTACGCACAAACTTGGAAGTAAATATTTGTTAGTAATAGTTTAAGAAAGAGTATATTCTCATTCATCTATAATGTGTGCAATACTGTAATTTACGGTAGTTATGTTGTAATAAATTAACTTTGGGTAAACATGGTGTGCAGATCTTTAGAAGTTTCCATAGCAAATCGCACATGAACATTATAGAATTCTACTTCACTCTCACAATTGCCAGTTGAATTATTATAGCACAGATGGTTTTATTATTGTTGTTGAGTGGGACTTCACTCTCACAATTGCCAGTTGAATTAGTATAGCACAGATAATGGGTTTTGTTATTGTTGTTGAGTGTTTTTTTTTAATGATTTAAAGTTGTACAGGCCATCTTGTCATTTATTTAAAGACGAATGGGCATAGCAGCAGCTAAATGTATCACTTAGAAATTCAAATACATCTTTGTTAAATTCACTAGGTGGATGAGCTTCTTGCAACAATTAATTTGTTTGTCTTCAAGTTGATTCTGACTTATGTCAACCCTTTCCAGGTTTTTCTAGATATAGGCTGAAATTCAGTAACTAGAGTAGGCCCATTAAATCAGGGGGGATTTGGTGAGTGAACATCTATAAAAATTTCATTGATTCAGTGAGCCTGTTCTAATTGTGACTCGCTACTGGATTTCAGCTATTAAGCATTCAGAAGTGGTTTACCATTCCCTTTTTTTGGGTGCATCCTGGGATTTTGCAGCTTGACCAAGGCTGCATAGGTTGGTTCTTTTCCTGGGAGACACAGTATAGAATTTAATTCAGTGGTGTCCAACCTTGGGTCTCCCAATATTCTTGGACTCAAATCTGCCAGCCACCTTCACCATTAGCTTTGTTGGCAGGATTTCTGGAAGCTGTAGTCCAAGTGCACTGGGGACCCAAGTTTGGGAACCCTTGATTTAACTTCTGACCCCTGGCTCTGCAGCCATCTCCTCTGACTCATTGAGCTATCAGCCAACAACTGAGCTTTGGAAAGATCCTGCTGTGCTGGCACTGAAGGTTATTTTAATTCTGAATTGCTTTGTGAAGATGCTGAAGAGATGTTTTGGAAGGCAATCCCAAAAATCTCCTAGTGCAGTGATATGGCACTGAAGATGCTGAAGAGATGTTTTGGAAGGCAATCCCAAAAATCTAGTGCAGTGATTTGGCACTATAAAACTTATTTATTTATTTATTTACTTATTTACTTATTTATTTTATATCCCACCTATCTAGTCAGCACAGGACCACTCTGGGCGGCTTATTGGTGTTTACGGATGATTGTCTTCTGCATGGGAAGGGGTAACTTGCAGGGGTTGCAGCTGAGGGTGGAACTGGATGGATGGATGGCAAACATGTTCACTTAGGCCAGGGCTTGTTTTGGCCCTGTCAGCATGTGCCTACCACAGTGTTTCCCAAAAGCGAATGCTACATTTAAGCTACAAAAGTCCTAGCCCTACTTTAAGGTGGTCTCAAGTTTACTATTCTGTATCAGGCAGAAATCACATTTCAAACCAGTCATTCACAACCTTTTTCAAGTCGCAGTCTCCTTAGATAATAGCCAAGTAACCTGCAATAACCCACCATCACTTCTGCATAAAAAGGCATTTTTAATAGGGAGAAGTCATCCCTTCTCAGAGAGGTTTCTTTCTCCCCCAAAGGGCCTGTCTCTCATATATACACATAGTGAATGCGAACTTTAATATCTTGCTCCAAATGGTCAAGGAAAAAAAATAAGGGCTACAACACACATAAGTTGACCTGCCACCTCCCCAGAAAACACTCTGACCTCCTTGGGGTTCATGACCTGAAGGATGGGAAATGCTGTAAATTTAAACTGCCCAGCTCAGTTAGCCTACTATATGTCAGAGCTACTGTATCTACAGTTCATGCTTTTCTGTGTTACTAAAGTAAATCCTTTCCAACTGGTGCTGCCAAAAGCACTTTTCTCCCCCCACTTGCCTGCACTGGATCCTGATTTCAGTTGCCTAAGGGTACTATGCCATGATTGTAATACAGTGGACCTTCGATTTACAGACGGCTCGACTTACAGACTTTTCGAGTTACAGACTTCTCTGGCTGCAAAATTTAGATTCGACTTGCAGCCAGAGAATTGACTTACAGACCAGAAAAAAACCAAAATGGAATAAAAATAGAATAAAAACCACTGGCTATGGGATTAATCAGTTTTCAGTGCATTGTAGGTCAATGGAGATTCGACTTACAGACTTTTCGACTTGCAGCCACCATTCCAATACGGATTAATTCCTTAAGTAGGGAGTCCACTGTACTGTATTACTGACAGTTGGACCCTCATTTTACTCAGATTACTTGCACTGTGCTGTCTCTAGGCCATTACTCTGGTGAAACGGGCAAAGATGAAAGAACAGTTTCATCGATTTTTGTCAGTCAGATGTATTAATCTCCATTGCTCCCTGTACCAATGGTTCTGCACATCCATGCCCCTTTACAAGGGGAAAAGGGGAATAGCAAGGGAAGAAGCCAGCAGAGAAGCTGGACTTAATGAAGACCAACAGGATTTGTTAAAAGAGGTCCTCAGAGGGTGGCCTTCCTGATATCAGATTACAAATCCCAGCATTCCTTTCAATTGGCTGTACTGCCTAGAGCTGTTGGTAGTTGTAGTTCAACAACATCTGGAAGGCTGCAGAGGCCAATGTAACTGACTACCCAGCAGGTGTTTATATAGGTTTGTACACCTGAACCACCCCTTGAAATCAACCCTGAGTGCTCACTGGAAGGACAGATCCTGAAACTGAGACTTCAATACTTTGGCCATCTCATGAGAAGAGAAGACTCCCTGGAAAAGACCCTGATGTTGGGAAAGTGTGAAGGCAAGAAGAGAAGGGGATGACAGATGACAAGATGGTTGGACATTGTCATCGAAGCTACCAACATGAATTTGACCAAACTCTGGGAGGCAGTGGAAGACAGGAGGGCCTGGCGTGCTCTGGTCCATGGGGTCACGAAGAGTCGGACACGACTAAACAACAACACCTGAGCCACCTCTTTAAATGTATAGGGCATGTAGCCCGATCCTGTGCAGGCAGAGCCTGGTGTAAATACCACTTGGTTTAGTTACTGGTAATTTCCATATAAATTCTCGGGATCGCAGCCTCAGAACTGATGCCTCCGGCTACCTCCCGAACTACAATTTCCACAACAACAACGCGTTCTTGTCTTGCTTACTCTCCCTTGCTAGGATGTTTGGCGGGTGCCTCCTGTCAGGCTCTTGAACGACACGGGCTAAGTCTAGCTCATTTTTCTCTCCCAAATATCAGCCAACACCCCCCCCCCATTCATCCCCCTCACTGGAGGGGCAAAATGGTGACGTGATAATAAGATAATTTGGGAAACGCTGATTGGTCCAAAGGAAGATATCCCCCCCCCCTCTCCGCTCCAGAGCCTGGCCGCCGGAGGATCTAACATAGCCCCGCGAGGCGCATGCGCGCTTGTACCGCTTGGCTGCCGTCCTGCTTGATCAAACGGGGTTAGCCCCTGTTTACTTTCTTCCACGGTTAAATCCGGGTTCCGGAAAGGTACATAACTTGCCCGGATAAGGCCAGGTTTCCCTGTCTGCTTTCCTGTTCGCGTGCAAAACGACGGCTAGGGTTTGCTTCCGCCTTTCATCTGTAAATCTCCTCCTGCCTTTTCCTAGGCACCAAGAGGTTTTCGTCTGGTGCTGAAGGAGTTCCCAGCGCCCCATTTTCCTTAACTATCGAAGTGCAGGCATCTCTCCCCCCCCCTTTTAGGGTTATTCACCTTGGGGCACTCCCGCAATGGATGCTGAAGAAAGAGCCTCCCCCACCCACCCCCCGTGGACAAACTTTAGAAAAAGCCAGTTGTGCACATTTGGAAATCCGAATTCCCCCCCCCCCGGAGCCTTCTGATGGGCTTAGCTCCAAACGCAATCCTAGTGTTTCTTCTCGGAAAATATATTTACTTGCAAGGAATTGGTTGACCCGTTGTAATCTCTCAGGAGCATCGCGAACGATTTCCTGAGGAGGGTCCCTCAAAGTTTATGAAGGGAGGAAATAAGATCAAAACTGCCAAAGCATCCTTACAGGCAGCCAGACACTCGGTGTATAATATTGGGTCAGATACACTCTTCTCAGCCTGCCTCGCGGAGATGATGTTGTGAGCATAAAGTGGCAGTAGAGCTGAGCCACATCTGCCAGCGTGAGGTTGCTGGAGGAAAGGTAGGGTAAATTTAAATGGAGTCACTGTATACTATCAAGTTGCTCCTAACTTTGTGGGGTGTTAATAGAGTATTTGAGGCACGTAAGCTATCCAAGAACAGGTCACTGTTGCCACCATCCTCTTGTGAGTTTCCATGGCAAAGGAAGGATTAGAACCCAGGTCTCCTGAATATGACTGGACCACACTGGCTTGTCAAAGGAGTTGTGTAAATTGCATGATTTGCATAAATATAAAAAATACATGCAATTACATAGTTAACATTAAATTTTAGTGCAGTACAATTAAAATAAATCAATGACATTTAAAAATAAACATGTTCCTCTTGGACTTTAGTCTTGTGTGGAACAATTTAGGAATAAGCCCAACTGAAAACATGGGACTGTTACTTCTAAGTGAAACACACTGTGGAGTATGCTGTTGGCTTTCTGGATATTAATTTCTATGGGCCCACAGATCTTCTCTTTGGTTTGTTTTTAATCAGAAACAATGACACACACACCAGTCATGAGCTTCCAGACAAGATTATGGGGAGACACTTTTCAGACTTCTGAAGTGGGGATTTAGCATGGCCCAGAATGTTCCTCCATTCAGAATATTTAAAAAGATCAAAGCCCTTGTGTTAGTTACAGAGTTGAGAATGTTGTTTTTAAAAATGCCGCTTGTTGCATTCTAAATTACTTTGAAACAGTTAGATTATCATAATTGTTTCCTCCATAAAGACAATCCATTGTTTTACACACTATTGTTGTAATGTACCTTCCAGTTGGAGCCAACATAGGGACCCTAACAGAGCTTTTAAAGTAAGTGAGATATTTAAAGAGTGGTTTTTACCAGTCCCACATGCCCAGTCAGTTTCCATGGCTGAGTAGGGATTTGAACCCAGGCCTCCTGAATCCCAGTCCATCACTTTATCCACTTCACCACATTGGGTATCCCTTATACACTATTACTTTGTTGTTTGCTTGCCAGCACATGAAAAATACAGGGAAATGTTACTTGATGTAGTGGCTAGTTTTTGATGCTTGAAAATGCTTACAAAAATGCCAAAGATGAAGTGGTTCTCATATTAAGATAATAGTTTAAAACTTTAAAAATTCCTATCAAAATACTCCCAAAATGGCTCAAAGTAACAGTTGAAAATAACTAAATAAGATTACTTACTATGCAAAAAGTAGCTTTACCTACTTGTTATGTTGGTTTTAAAATGAAACTTATTTATAAAAAGTAACACATGTCTGATAAAACTAGTTGAATGCTGCAGTGCCTTTAAGTAACCAGCTAGTTACTTCAAACCTTTGGTTGGTTGTCACATATATTTGTCACATAGCGCCAGTGAGCAAACCAGAGATAGATCATACTTTTAAAGAATAAATGCCTTTTGTTTTGATCAAAGAGGGAAGAGTGCTTCCCTCTGCACTCCCTGGCTTGGTCATCCCCAGACCCAACCTACGGCAGCTCCTTGAGGCAGCCCAGTCAATGGTACTCCCAACTTGTTAGGATACCAAACGTTACCCAGAATCTGCCTTTCAGCAGTGACGGCAAAAGAAATCCATTATGCTTCTCTGTGTCTCTGGCAGAGTAGAAACACAACAGATTAAAACAATGACCGTCTTTTCATGGTGCCAAAAAACTGCTGCCTGAGATAATTGGCTGCATTATAGGCTTGGCTTTGGTTGTCCATACTTCTGGAACAGCTAAATGTTTTCTTGTTTCATACCTTTTCTTTTATATTTTTGTCTCCATTTTCAATACTGCAAGGAATACAAATAATGAATTGTGCAATTGCTCTGCGCTGTGGTTTCACACCCCTACCCCTATTTTTACCAGATGACTCTGCAACTCTCAGGATTATTTCTTTATTTTTTCCCCCTCATCTCTAAGCATCACTTTAAGATGGCTGGATAGCTCAGTGGTTAGAGCCAGAGGTTGAGAGATCCATTCCGCACTGTGCCTCCTGGGGGTAGAACTAGCCAGTGTGGCCTTGGGCCAGCTGCAAGGTCCCAGGATGCCCCCAGAAGAAGGGAACTACTTCTAAGGAGTCTTTTCTACCTAGAAAACCCAGAAAAGTGTCACCATAGGTCACAATTGATTTGATGACACATGATTTTTCTTTTTCTTTTTAACTGACTTGTGTATTTTTCTCTGCACTTCCTGTGGGTCCCTAAGTGTATATCCACAGCTTGGATAGCTCAGTGGTTAGAGCCAGAGGTTGAGAGATCCATTCCGCACTGTGCCTCCTGGGGGTAGAATTGGCCTGTGTGGCCTTGGGCAAGCTGCAAGGTCCCAGAAGAAGGGAACTACTTCTAAGGAGTCTTTTCTACCTAGAAAACCCAGAAAAGTGTCACCATAGGTCACAATTGACTTGATGACACATGATTTTTCTTTTTCTTTTTAACTGACTTGTGTATTTTTCTCTGCACTTCCTGTGGGTCCCTATATGTACAGTGGGGTCTTGACTTGAGAACTTAACCCGTATTGGAAGGCGCTTCTCAAGTCAAAAAGTCTGTAAGTCAAGCCGTCTGTAAGTCAAGGGTCCACTGTATATCCACAGCTTTCTCACTCTGCTTCAACAATGCAGGAGACAAAGTGGGCTCATGCTCTGAAAGCTCGTACCCAGCTGGCCAATATTTATAATTATTGTTATGGTTGCATTTTTAATTTCCAAAACTGATTAATATTTAAAATGCTGTATGTTTGGTTTTCTCTCCTTGCTTTGCCAGCAAAATGCAGCCACCATGACTCAAGTGAAAGAAGAGGAGCTGATGGATAATGAAGGGAAGGATGCATTAAGCTGCAGCGTGAGTGATTCACAGTGCAGAGGGTGGGGGGTGGCAGGCAATTCCAGAGTTTTTTGTACAAGCTTTCTTTTTTTAATCTTTTGTAAAAGTAGAAAAGAAATACATATGTGTCAGTTGTTCCTGTTGTATTCATCAAGTAAGTGTATTATTGAATTTTTCCAGTATGCAGCTGTTAGCATGGCAACTCCCACTACTGAGTTGCTTATTAAAATCTTGTTTTCTTCCTTAAGAAAACTATCATAAAATTGTATAAGATAACTTGTAGAACTGGTAAATGGTCAACTGTCATATAAATGGCATCGCAGGGTATTCACGTTAATCTGTAACTGTCAGCAGAATCATTGTTCTTGTGTTTCTCCAACAATTTTGTATGGGTTTATACTCCCAGCTAAGAGAGCTGACCCTAACATTGGACAGAGCTTGAAATGTTATTTTGTAAAAGGAATTTCTTGCATTACAAATTAAGTTGCAAATATCTGTAGTATTGTTACTGCAAAAGTACTTCAGTGTGTTGGGCTGCGTTGGTTAATTAATGGCAAAAAAAATACTTTCTGAATTCCTGCTGGTGGCCATTTCATATAAATGTCATACCAATGCATTGGAAATACTTATGGACATATCACATCTTTAAAACTAACAGATTTATTATAGTATGAGCTTTTGCAGACACAGTATCAATGAAAATTCATGCTTTAATTAAGCTGTTAGTATGGTTAGTATTAAAGATGTCACATTACTCTTTTATTTTGCTGCTGGAAACTAATGTGGCTACTCTTTGACAGCTGTGAGAAAACTGCAAAAGATGAAACGAAATAATGCTTCCTTTACCATTTAGGATAGATATGGGACTGGAATAAAATTTGGAAAATTCCTTTCAGAATGCCCTTAGAAAGCAACTACAGTCATGGCCAAAAATATTGGCACCCTTTCAACTCTGTCAGAAAATGCAACCCTTCTCTCAGAAAATTGTTGCAGTTGCAAATGTTCTGGTATTTATATGTTCAGTTCTTTGGTTTGCGTTGGAACAACACAAAAAAACCAGAAGAAAAGTCAAATCTGATACAATCCCACACAAAAACCCAAAAATGCACTGGCCAAAATTATTGGCGCCCTTAACTTAATATTTGGTTGTACCCCCTTTGGAAAAAAGAACTGAAATCAATCACTTCCTGTAACCATTAACGAGTTTCTTACACCTCTCTACTAGAATTTTGGACCACTCTTCTTTTGCAGACTGCTCCAGGGCCTTCAGATTTGAAGGATGCCTTCTCTCAACTGCTGTTTTGAGATCTTTCCGCAGGTGTTCTATGGGATTCAGATCTGGACTCATTGCTGGCCATTTCAGAACTCTCCAGCACTTTGTAACCATTTCTGAGTGCTTTTGGAAGTGTGTTGGGGCTCATTGTCCTGCTGGCAGACCTATGACCTCTGGTGGAGATGCAGCTTTCTGACACTGGCTGCTACGTTGCACCCCAGAATTCTTTGGTAATCATCAGATTTCATGATACCATTCACACAGTCAAGGCATCCAGTGCCAGAAGCAGCAAAGCAACCCCAAAACATCTTTGGACCTCCACCATGTTTGACTGTAGGGACTGTGTTCTTTTTCTTGGAGGGCCTCATTTCTTTTTCTATAAACAGTGCCATGATATCCTTGACCAAAAAAACCCCTCTACTTTTGTCTCATCTGTCCACAGTACGTTCTCCCAGAAGGATTATGGTTTGTCTCATAAGTTTTGGCATACTCCAGTCTTGCTTTTTTATGCCTTTGTGTCAGCAGTGGTGTCCTCCTGGGTCTCCTTCCATCCATCACCTTTTCATTCAGATGGCGATGGATAGTGCAAGCTGACAGTATTGTACCCTGTGTCTGCAGATCAGCTTGAATTTGTTGGGAAGTTAATCTGGGTTCTGTATCCACCATTCAAACAACCCTTTGTTGTAATTTTTCAGTAATTTTGCTCTTCCGTCCACGGCCAGGGAGGTTAGCTACAGTGCCATGGGCTGTAAAACTCTTGATGATATTGCGCACAGGAGATCTCTGGAGGTGGACTTGTAGCCTTCAGATTGTCAATGTTTTTCCACAGTTTTTTCTCTCAAATCCACAGACGACTCTTTACACTTCATTCTTTTCTCCATGCTCAGTGTAACACACAACACAAAGGTTGAGTCAACTTTTCTCCATCTTAACTGGTTGCAGGTGTGATTACTATATCTCTGTTTTTTTGTATTGTTCCAACGCAAGCCAAAGAAATGAACATGTGAATATTTTTGGCAATGACTGTATTTAAAAAGCAAAAGTGTGCTGCTTATATACCACCCCATAGTGCTTCAAGCACTCTCTGGGCGGTTTACAATTATGCAGGCTACACATTGCCTCCCCAGCAAGCTGGGTACTCATTTTACCAACCTCGGAAGGAGAGGAGGCTGAGTCAACCTTGAGCCGGCTACCTGGGATTGAACCCCAGGTCGTGAGCACAGTTTTGGCTGCAGTACAGCAGTTTAACCACTGCTGCACAGCAAAGTAACTTCAGAAGTAGTTCTGAGTACTTACGTGCATCCTATCCAGCTACAGGTGAGTAAATGGTTTGCAGTCAATTAGTTCTAAGTTCCACATTAGGCAAAATACCATGAAAGTACAACAAACATAAACCAAAGTTTAATTAAAGATAAAAGCCCTCAGTTGTTGATATCATCAGCCCTATACATGTAGATCTGCACCAACAGGATACTAGCCACTGTAGTAAAGATGAATATTCTTCTCAAAATTATTTTCTGTTTTTTCAAGATGCCAAATTCTGATTAAGCAAAATCAAGTTCAGTCACTGTTGTATGGAAATATGAAAATAACTGAATTAAGATGGCCCTTAATTCTTTTGAAAGAATAGGTTTTATTGGATGAGTTGCTAAGAAAATATGGTACATATCAAATAGAACCAAATTAGAGAAGCTATTTTAGAGTCCAGGATGAAATTTATGATTATTTATCCTGTCTCTGTTTCTTTTCTGTAAGGGCTTAATGGTCACAAAGTGAGTTTCTAATTCAATTGTATCTTTAAAGACTAGAATTTGCATTCTGTTCAAAGAAAGAAGATTTTCTTTCTAGGGTTTACTGTTAAATGAATTTAATTATTAACAGCAGATCAAGTTTTATACAGGTGCAAAGTTGTAATTTAACTAATAAGATTCAAAGATGATGCAATTTACATTATTCTTAATGCCTCTTGAAGTGATAAATTTGACATAACAGAAAGGTTTGTTGAACTATATTTATAGACTGTTGGATACCTTGGCAAAAGAAAATAATGGGCAAATATGCCAAGAAGACAAAACAAAACTTCTGTTTCAAATTGAAGGAAGCCATGTACAATTTAGTAAGTAAGGCACTTGCCAGAACGGCAGTCAGGATCAAATATTATAAGATTATCTCAAGTAACTCTACAGCAGTCTGTATACATTACATGTACCTTTCATTCACTGTAATACCTGGAACTGTCTTGTTTCCAATGGACCTTTTCTTCAATTCTGGTCACAGTCAGAGCCCAAGACATTCTTCTGTCCACAGTAAAAGACCAAATGACACCCATACCCATCAACCCAGGTCAAGGTGCAGAGTGAATCAAAGTTACATTCTTTAAGAGTCTTTAAAAGAAATACAATGCCACTACTCTAAGCACATTGTTCTTGTCTGATTTTCAGCAAAGTGCTGCCACCAGTAGTCAAACTGAAGATGGAGAGCCAACAGTGAGCAGCAAGAAGGAGGAGTCCTTTTCCTCTAGCTGCAGTGTGAGTGTTTTGCAATGAAAACGGAATTAGGCAATCTTTTACGCTTCTTACATGCTTCTGTTCCATTTATTTTTAACAAAATTGTGTGCTTTCAAAATCAAATTATGATGTTGTCACAAGCATTTTAGTGTGCACCAACTTGCCAGAACTGGCTTCCACTAGATTATTCATCTCTGAAACAGCATACTTCCTATAATGGGGATTGTGCAGACCACACGATCAGTATGGCCCAGTTACAGTGGTCCTTCAGTGGCACATCCAGCTTTATGGACGGTTAACTTCTAAAAATAAAAATAACAGCATGGGATGTTCTCTTTGATTTGATGCTAGTTTGTGAAATCAAAGGAAATGCAAGTAAGTAAATAGTGGCCAAAATCCTGATGCTCAGTGTAAGTAAATCACATTAGACAAGGCCCATTGAATCAGTGGCTTCATGGTGATTGTATTAAGGTTCCAAAAGTTTAATTGATTCAAATGGGCCTTCTCTAACTGGGACTTACTATGCTAATGTAAGTTGTAGTTAGAATAGTCTCGCTTGAATTAATGGAACTTATGCAGTTGTCTTAACAAATCCCCATTATACACCTGTGCATGCTGACTTATTGTATTAGCGCCACTGAAAGAAATGTGTCCCAGTTGTTATGGCAGAAGTAGTCCTAAAGTTTTCCAGATCCACACCACTGAAGTTTTGATCCATTGCTTTATATACAGTACATACAATGGAGAGCCAGGATACCGGCAAATCCTGGCAAGCTACATGCTGGAGTGTATAGCCTGTATACCTTTGCTTGGTTCCTCTTGTGAGTGTAACAGGCGAAACAACAGGCAGGCTACATGCAGGTGCCTTTGTGACCCTCAGAATCCCTAGTGCCATTGCTCCTGCTGTGCAAAAAGACATACTGTATTGTAACTTCTAAAGCAGCCACTTACACATGAAAGCAAAGTACTCTGAGAGCCTGATTCTTATTTGTGAGCCAGCTCCCAGCTTCTAAAAGCCTCCTGAAAGCACTAATTGGCTTGCAAACAAGGTGTGTGCTCCATGAGTGCTTCACTTTGATACAGAAGTAGTTGCTTTAAAGGTACAAAATCACGATCATGCCATGAAATCTCAGCAGTATGCTGATCGAGTGGTGCAGTTGTATTGGGAGCCATTTGGAAGTGATGTGTTAGACTTAACAAGTCAGCGCTAAAATTCCTCAGTTGGCTTGTCCTCTTTTTAACACAAAAGTAATTATTGCACTGTTTGTATGTTAAATAAATGCATCGTGTCCAAGCTTTGATGGGGAGGGTGGCAATTTGGCATCTCGGGCCCCAGAAGTTGTACACCCTTCGGTTAAGTTAAGTAGATGTCAAAACTAAAGATTCTCAGTTGTCAAGAACAATCCTACTTTAGATCTCACCTTGTAGAAGATACAACAGGCTCAAAGTCGAGTTGCTAGTGGTAGTGAGTGGAGCTAAGTATAAGCAAATGGGCGGGATGCTCCAGCACACTTTAAATCAGGACTTGTCAGAATCAATTAATCAAAGCATTTATGCTCTGGGTTAATTCTAGGACCTTCCATACAAACCTGTCTGTTTACTGGAATCTTGAGGAGATATCTTGCTGTGTGCATCCAGTCAGTTGATCAGAGGACCCATGCCATAGACTAGGGGTGTGAATCTTTCAGCCACTCATTCTTGATGAGAAACTGGGGTGGAATGGGGAACCCCTCTTTTCTCCTCATAGTGATATCATTTTTTACAAGGTATTTTTTTTCTTCCAGGAAGTCTTGTGAGATTCCTTTGGATGTTTTGTTGTCCTTTTTTTCCTGGAAGAAACACTGATCTGTAACGAATTGCTGTAATTTTGTAGAAAGGGGCATCTTTCCTACATAAGATTTCCTAGAAAGGGCAGTGAGCTGCACAGAATTTGGCAGTTTCTTGTACAAAAGAACAAGCAGGCAGGCAGGCAGGCAGCAGCAGCAGCAGCAGCAGCAGCAGCAGCAGCAACAACAACAACAACAACAACAATAGGGAAAAACAAGAATAGGGTATCACTTTCACTGGAATATTGCTAGTGCCAGGTGACATTTCAGCAAAAAATTCCAGCATAGTGCGGCTTTGCAAATCGTAGAGAACTAGAAAGTTGTTGTTGTTTAGTATTCATCACATAGCGGCTATGGAACTTTGTTCCCTGTCCTTCCATTTGGAGCCAGGCAAATGTGACACTCTCTTCCAGACAGCTTTTGAAGATCATTGAATGATTACTTTTGCTGATGTTCAGATTTGCTGTTTTTTGTTGTTGCTGCTGCTGTTACTAGGGTTTACTAGATTGATTTTTTTGTATGCATATTTTGCACTCTCAGCTTTTGTGGTTAACGAACTGAAGAAATTAATAGATGAAAAGGTGGGTTAGATATTCTCAAACTACTGCATCCGTCTCTTCACAGCTTCATGCAGAAAGACTTGTGTTGTTGTTTTTGTTCAGATATCGGAACTGCTGCTGGTCTATGGAAACCTTAAAAAGGATCAGGAAAAGCATTTGACTCTTATAGAGTCTCACGCATCCCTTTTCCATGCTATTCATTCAATTGTAAAATGTTACAAGAAGACTGCAGAACGTGGTAAAAGCAATGTCTTGGGCATCAAGGAGCTTCATCACCCTTCCCTTGGCAGGCCTGAGAAGGAGGATGTTGTAAAAGAAAAACCTGCTTCTCTAAAAGACAGACGAAAAGACAAAGGCACTTCCATGCGTATACATTCCAAACACCTGCTTATGTCAAAAAGCAAAAGTGTTATTTTTCGAATGCAGCAGAAACATGGTCTTGAAGAATTGCCTCCAGCCTATTTGCTTCCTTATGTGGTGTTAATTAAGAACTGCATTTCCTTGCCAGTCTCCACCATCCAAAAACTATGTGTCTCTGGGGAGATACTGTGCAGGATGGAGTATTTTATGTTGAGGTGCACAAAGAAGAAATCAACTCTGCCTGAATCAGCAGAATTAAGTGTTCCTAAACTGCCAACAGTTAAAGGTGAGCAAATTGTACTTGAAAGCAAATAGGGGTGAGTAAGAGTGTGAGAATTGGTAGGGCTAACTGAGAGTCTGTTGCCATAAGTGGTTCTTAGTTAACAATCTAAAAGTGAAAATAGGAGTGTGGTCCAAAGCATGCTTACCAGAAAATAGATCCTTTTCAAAGTTGTTTCCAAAGCCCTAGTTCTCTGTAAATATGTTCTAAGAATGACAAATCAACAGAGCCGCATCTGAATAGGATAGCTGCACTGTTGTGTTGCATGGAGGAAACTGGAAAAAAAAAGGCTTGATTTATGTAAACTATTAATGCATGGCATGTTTACCACAGCGAAGAGTCATGCTTAGTGAAGTGCGGTCTGAACCATAATCCCCTAGATTCTATGCCCATTCTTGATAGCATTTTAACTGTTTCAACAGAGACACATAGAAAGCATTCTATAAAAAAGGAGGGGAAACTTTCTAGATATTTCTGGGCTACCTCTCCCACCCTCATCATTGGTTATTTAAAGGCTGTTGAACTACATCCCCTATCACGCTTCACTACTGCCCACACTGGCTAGAGTTGATGGGAGTTGCAGTTATATGTCAGCACTACCAGAAAGGCCACATGTCCTCCGCTCTGGGATCAATAACCAAAGCAGATTTCCATTAACTAGGAAAATGATGTGATGGTTCAAAATCCTGTTAGTTACATCTGCCACTATAATGCACTTGGCATAAATCTTGTGGCAAATTGCTGCCTTAACATGCGCCTGATTTCAATGGCTCTGTCTGTCTTTGACCAGGTCCAGGTCCAATCTAATGCATCATAATATTGTTTAATCAGTATAAAAATGACCCTGATCAACTGGGCAAGAGAGGTAGGATATACAACAAAATGTTGTCTTGTGCAGCGCTGTTATCCAGCATGCTCTCCTCTAGAACAATATAAGCTAGACAGAAACAGATTCCTGAACTTCATATATGACTACCCCATATGCTCAGTCTTTGCTGGTCTGCTGAAGTCTGAAAGAGAATGTTTCCAACCTTGATTCCTTTCAAGGTTTCAGTTAAATTCAGGAAGGTATTTAGGAAGGTATTTCAACTAAATATTCAAAGCAAAGTGAAAGAAGGAAGGCAAAACAACTGGGACCCTCAAATTTGGGAGAAATCATGCAGAGTGTGAGACAGTTGCCTCAGAAGCAACCGCCGAAGGGCACAGAGATGTATTGTTTTGTGTGGAAGTAATATTCACCTGGCTGTCCAGCATCTGTATGTGGAGTGGGTGTCTGGGGAGTCTTATCATTCACTTCCTACATCAAAATGGCATGGCCCAACCTTGAACCAGACAGAGAGCTTTCTATTTGTGCTGGGGGTGGGGTTCCTAGTTTTCTCTTTTCTCTTTTAATAGCCTTCCTTCCTTCCTTCCTTCCTTCCTTCCTTCAATGCACTGATACTCCCTGCCCTTGTTACTTGGTCCCCCTCTTCTGGCTCCAGCCTAGTCAACCTCATAATACTACAGTAAGGCCCCCATATCTGCAGGATCAGTATCCACGGTTTCACTTACCCATGGCCTGAAAATTAAAAATATCAAATGAAAACAATCCAGAAAACATTATTTTCACATGTATTACCAGAACTAGAGAGACCCAGAGACTGTGCTATGAATTCTTGTTGTTGAAGAATAGATAGTATGGTTTCTAGTGCCCTCTAGTATCTAGTTCTGGTAATGCACCTGAAAATATCTGGATTTTCCCCCATTTCCCTTGCTATGTATAGCATTCACTGTTATCCACAGTTTTTAGCATCTGCAGCGGGGCTTGGAACCAATCCTCCACGGACATGGGGGTCCTATTTTATTAATATTCAATGTATTTCTCTTACATTTAAAGATCATGTAGTTTCTTTCTCTTTGTTTCTTTGGACTTGTCTTTTCTGCTAAGACAATGCCTGCTGCCATTACTACATGCATCATCATTTTAAATCCTACAAACTGAATTGTAAAGCTGGTTCCTACCCCAGGAGAATTCATCAGCTCCCAAAAGCAGCACAGTTGCATTTCCCCCCCTTTACCGATGAAGCCAACCTAGCATCCAGAACTCCCAATCAAAACTAGTGCATTTTCCTGCTTATTGTTCAATGCCGTTTCTTCTCTTTCCCCTCTTAAATAAGAGCTGCATTTTGAACCTCCTGCTTTTTGTTGTTTTCAGAAGTGAAGTACGTCACTTTTGACAGCCTGAAGGATTTACAGTGGAAGTTGTTCAAAGGTTTGTTAAAACGGAAGCCCAAAACAACTGGAGTGTGGAGGGAACCAACATACAGTTTTGGAATTGAAGGTGTATCTGCTCCCAAGGATGTAGAATATATCTTCCCTTTGATGCCTAAAGACTGGATAATTGATGACTCTCTTAAGTTTTCAGAGGAAATGATGCACCTGCTTCTAGAAAAAGAATGAAACTCATGAACAGAGAGCCAGAACCTGGAGAATATTTGTCTAAAATACATTGAACAACTTCCAGTGTTAGTTTAGTATTCCAATTTTTATGAGTAATTTACTTGTGTAATGCATGAAGTGAACTATTGTGTGATGTTTCAGGCAACAGATATATAGTTGTTTTTGAGGTCTCTGAAAGCACCCCTGAAAAAGGTGCCTCTAAAGATCAGCATTTTTTTATTTAGTGATAAAAAGAAAAATCCCATTGAAAGACAGAAACTGTTTGCTTTAATTGTTGTGCAGCACTCTTGTGCTGCCAGACTTCAATAGTGAACTGCTACAATGCATGTGAAACAAATAATATGCTTGTTTGAACCTGTTTTCCCCCTGTTGCTGCTGAATTTTGGTGGCATACAGGTATGATCCAAATACAGGTGGGGTGCCAGAATTGGGCCTTGTGTCCATCAAAGATGCCTACCCACCTCCAGTATAAAGCACCTGGGTGCCTTTTAATAGATTTCAGAGAGGTGTACATGTTAATCTGTTCCATCAACAAAATCAGAAATCTCCAAGATTCTCAGTTATGTTTCAGCCTGGATCACAAAAAATGCAATACAAAACAAAACAAACTCCAAAGTATTGCAGCATCTTCAAGACTAATACATTTATTAGAGGCTGAATACTCAAAAGCTTAATTTTTTTTAATTTTGGGGTTAGAAAAGTGGGGGGCATCTTATAAATGGGGGCATCTTATAAATGGAAAAAATACAGTACTCGATTTATTTTGTCATTTCTTTTGTTTTTGTGTGTATTTTGTCATCTGCTTAGAACACACAGGTGATATACAGATTAATCTAAAGGACAGCAGGGAGGCTTGCATTACAGACAGGCATGTCTCTAATGAAGGCCTCAGAATAAAAATTGTGGAAGCCAAGACATGGGCACTTAGTATTCCTTTCCCTGGAGAAACAAATGTGAACCACAGCATCGCAGGTGCCATGGTGACCTAATCACACTCAATCCTGCTCCCCAGAACTGACTGGGCCACTTACTGGGCTCCTCATGGCACTCAGCTCCATTGTGGTCATCACACCAATCACGGAAGGAGCCCGGCCAGTTCTTGCCCAGCTCCCCTTGCAGCTGACGACTCATGGACCCCCTGTTCTGCCTTGGCACCAAAGTGTTGGCTGCACGGGGAGGCAGGGAAGAGCTGGCCGGGCTCCTTCCACAATTGGCACAATAATGACGACAGAGCTGAGTGCTGTACAGTACCCAGTAAGTGGCCCAGCCTGTTCTGGGGGGCAAATTAGGCGGGATTGGGATTCTCCAGGGAAAACAATATGAAGTGCCCATGTCTAGTGGGAGCGGCATGTCTCATATGAGGAGGTGGAATATTCCACGTATTATGCAACCACTTTCAATACCCTGCTCTGAAGTGTGGACCTCAGGAAGTATGGCAAGATGACTTATAAATGGAAAAATACAGTACTCCATTTCTTTTGTCATTTGTTTTGTTTTTGTGTGTATTTTGTCATCTGCTTAGAACACACAGGTGATATACAGATTAATCTAAAGGACAGCAGGGAGGCTTGCATTACAGACAGGCATGTCTCTAATGACTTCGGGAACCAGACAGGTCTGTATGGCAACAGGTAGCCAGGTCCCAAGTCAATTACAGCTTTACATATTAACAGCAAAACCTTAAATTGGGCTGGCTGCAATTTGGAAATCAGTGTTATTCCTTCACTAACCTTGTTCTGTGCATCTGGTTAATTCGTTTTACCCAGAAGCCTGGCTGAAGCATGAAGCATCTGCTGCTGCTTTGAAACTCAAGGCCAACAGCAAGTCTGGTGCTGGACCATGTACAGGATGTGTCTATTTTGCCATGCATTGTTTTTACTACATGTGGCTTTCTGGTATAATTGCGATAGTATGTAAGGAATTATCTGGATGGCTATCAGCATCTGAACATTCACTTGAAGACTCATGGGATGCTTTAAATAAAACAACTGTGTAGGATTCTATACACTTGATGTCACAATTATTGTGAATTGATACAGGAGTTCAGTTCGTACTCAATGTGATGCAACTCACGTTTAAGCTCAGAACCCCTCTTTTTTCCCTTCCTTTCTCTGGTCCCACCTCTACCAATCCTTTTATGGTTCACAATCCCGACGCTTGGTTTTGAAAGGGTTGTACAGTGTTTCAGAAAAGGTGGCAGCATTCCAAAGTTCTTCTTAACGTGTCCAGAAATAACATATACCGCAGGAATGTATTTTGTTTGGATTGTTTCTGGGTATTTTGTTTTTTGTTTTAAAATTCTCTTCTGGAGGTGATCTAGCATTAAACAAGTATATCAATGCTAGTGAAAAGGTGATAAGGTGATGTAGTGCTAATATATGTAAAAAAAAAAATTGGAGGACAATCAGGGCAAAAAAATACTGGGGCAGCTGTTCTTGCCATACTGGACATCATGCCCCAAGTAATAGTTTTCATACTGGGGTTCTGTATAAAGATACTATTTAATATTGTACCTGGAAGTGTCTGTGTTTTAACATTTAACTATCCTTTTGGGGCGAGACCATGGAATAGCGTATGTCATCTGTCCTGTAATGCAATAATATAAAGGCCACATGGCTCAGGACAAAGAGAATTAAAAAACAGACTTAAATAAGCCATCACCTAAGCATACAAATTCAACATTGTAAGAAACAACAAAATAAACATGTGTCTGTCATGCTGCAGATGTTAATGGGCCAATCTTTCTCATCAATACAGTATTAAACTGCCCAGCAGATGGCACCATTGTATATCATCGCCATATACAAAAATAATTTCATAATCATATTAGGAGTGACTCAGAGTTGAGCAGTGCTGGAGATTGTGGCTGTATGACTGTTCAAACTGATCAAGTACAATTAGGCAAAGATTGGAAAAGCCAGGGGCCATGCTTTACCAGGGGTATTCTGGATGCTAGAGTTAAAAAAAAAGAAAGACATTTTCTAAGCCCCTTCATTTAGATGTCTGTAACCCATTGGAGTCAATGGTTTAAGCACACCTACCTGAATAGAATTAAACAAGTAGTAAAATACATAATGTTGTAAGGCCTGTCTGAAGAGTTTGCAGTATTGTTACTTTTGTCTACTTTACCTAATTTTAAATCCTTAGCATTCTTTAATTCCTGTGCTCCCTTGTGTGGTGCAAACTGAAAACATAAGAGAGGGAGGGGGCTGCAGCCCACATTTTTAGAGGTGTGGTGAAGGAAGGAAAAATTACTTTGAATGAATTCAAGTCTCCTGGGCCAGATGAATGCATACATTTGGATCTGACTGAGGTCACTGTTGCTACAGTTTGGTTCGAAATGGAGGCATCCACACGTTTCCACTTCGATTGACCCTGCCTTTTTAAAGAGTTGTCATGCACATTTCTGGCACAGCAGTAGGGCATGGGTTCTTTTTAATTCCATTCAGCGTGATCCTAATTAGCTCATTGTGCAGCTTGTGCAGACAGTTAGCCCGCACCCAAGTGACATTTCAGAATCCAGGAGCCACCTATAGTCTGAGAATCCATGTAGAAGAGGTGAGATTCTATGAGTGCTATCAGGAAATGTTCCCAAACAGATAATTAAACAGTTTGTCAGTGAGTGTTCAGGGGAGAACTTGTGATTACTGAACACAAACATGTTTTTCTAAAAATAAAAAAAAAGTTATGCCAGACTATTTGCCCCCCACACACACACACACACAAACACACTGTTACAAGTGTGATAGTTCAGAGGAATGCTGTGGATATAGATTATCTTGATTTCAGCAATGGTTTTAATAGTTTCCCGGAATATTCTTATGGGCAAGCTGGTAAAATGTTGGCTAGATGATGCTACTTTTAGGTGTATTTGGAGCTGATTGGTGGTGGACAGTATCCAAAGAATGCTCACCAGTGACGCTACATTATCCAAGATACAATTGCCATTGCACATGGCTTTTGAAGTACAGCAGTCTCATAAATGTCAGTATGTTAAGCATATATATATTTGGAACAATGGTACAAATTTTATCAATATTTATTGCGGATACCTTATTTTTATTAGACTAAAAGACAACACACATTTTTCTTTCTTTTAGTGAAAGCTACCTGTATTACTAAACTTTTGGCCGTGAACTCAATCAGTGAGTTGGAGTCAGATCTTAAAGGCATTTTGGCAGACACCTTAATCTCAGTAGGCTAGATCCAAACCTGGACATCTTTAGAGTAATCCCATAAAAAAAAACAATGGGACTATTTTACACATGATTAACCTTGGGTCTGACCCAATATAATGACACCATCTGTCCAAATGCCTCTGAAGCAAGAAAATGTTTCTTGCATATCAATCACAAAGCAAAACAAATTTTAAAAACGACCTAGCAGAAAGCATCAATTTAAAGAAAGTGCATTTAGGCCACAAAACTCATTATGAAAAATTCAGTCATGGGTATAATATCATATTGAAGTCTAGAAAGTACAGCTCCGCAGGGAACTGCTGACCTATAAGTGCTCATTTCATGTTTTTCCATTTAAATGCCTTTTGTTTATAGGCCTAGATGCTGAGTGGTTCAGAATGTCTGTCTTCTCTAACTTTATATTAAAGACTACATTTTTTTTCTTTTAACATGCAATCACTATTAATTAAACAAAGTCCTACAGACTCCCACTTACATTTGTTTTCTTCCAAAGCACCACTATCACCCAGGGGGAGGAGTTTGCCATGGGCTTGATCCTGCCCATCTGAATCCAGCATAGGTCTGGGCCTCCTATCAATCAATTGTGTGGAAAAAAAATAGCCCAAATTTTATTGAATACAATTATAGCAAACAGATGCAACAAATAGGCAGTACAAGCCAAAGAAAACTCACATGAGGTTGCATGGCCCAAAAGTGTATCAGGCATTGGTGTGCTCCTCACTGTGAGAAGAAAGCCAAAGCAAAGAGGTAATTAGCAATGGATTTTATGGCCCTTATTTGTTTCACTACCAGAATCTGTCAGAACGGGATGGGGACTTGCAAAATATGAGACATGGAAGTCCTATTTCCAAGGAACTAGAATAAATACTCTTATCATAAGCGATGAGGTAATGGAGGAATGTGAAACTGAGGGGAATAATTTATGATACCTGGCACCTATTTATAACAGATGCTAAGCATACCTTTCCCCCTCTCTCTGCTGTGTGCAAAAGCATAATTTTGTCACAGTTGCAGTGCAGACATTGTGAACAGTGCTATCTCCTTATCTTTAAGTTTTGATTATGGTACAACACCATGATACCATTTTGGCAACAGTCAAAATCTTTGCGATTACCAAGAGTTTTTATTGTTTTTAATCCTTTTTGTACACTATCATGCTGCCCATATGGATGAAAAGTAATTTAGGAAAGCTAGAATAATGAATTAATCAAATGAATGGTGTCTGCTGCCAGCTCAGTTATCTGTTTGTGCAAGTGAGACTCTCTCTCTTCTCACTCATTTCCCATCTATTCTTCTGGTGTATGTGCAAAGAATACAATGGGTTTTTCCAGAAAACAGAAGTTTTGGGTGGACTTCTATAACCTTCATACACACACCCCGATTCGGGAAAGTTAGTGTGTTATGGTTCCCAGCCTTGGATCTCCAGATGTTCTTGGACTGCAACTCTCAGAAGCCTTCACCGCTAGCTGTGCTGGCTAGAATTTCTGGGAGCTGCAGTCCAATAACATCCAGGGAGCC